TGGCTCCCCGTCACCCTTCGCGGCGGCCCCGTCGACCCGCACGCGGCTCCTCGTCGCCCTTCGCGGCGGCCCTGTCGACCCGCGCGCCGCCCCTGGGGACCCGTGCACCCGTCCCCGTCGACCCGCGCGTCGCCCTGCGGCCCCCCTCCCCGCACACCTGAGTTCGATTACCGCACATCCGAGTTCGCTTCCCGCACGCTTGTGCACGCTTCACGCACACCTGAGCTCCCTTACCGCACACTCAGGGTATGGGGGTGACGGGTATGGGGGTGATGGTTGTGGGGGTGTCGGTTGTGCGTGCCGTCCCCTTCTCCTCCTCCTCCTTCGTCTCCCACTGCTGCAGCTGTCGTTGAGGGGGGTGGATGTGTGGGAGTCTGGGGTTTAGGGTTTAAGGGTGCGTGTGAATGGAGCTAGCGGTGTAGCAGCGGATGCGTGCCAGGGGGAGTGGGATAGTGTGGGGAAGTTGTATGGAGGTTGCCGTCGTGTCGCCAGCAGCACCTGTATTTCGGGGAGTTGCTCCGATAGCCCAGTCGTAGCCAGCTGTGCCAGCCGCCCGTGGGTCCGTTGCTCGTCTGCCACTACTTTAGCCGCGGGGCCAGTTACTCCAGTATTCCGGAGCGTTGTTCCGGTAGCCGCTGTGCCAGTGTGCTTCCTGTTGCCCGTGTGTGTGCAGCTTCAGCCGTTGCCTCCTATCTCCTCTCTTCTCACTCTCTCTCCTCCTCCTCACTTGCCCGTTGTGACTACCACTAACTTTGCTCATTATTGTGAACCTTAACCTATTGCTTCTTGAACTTGTGCTCAGAATGTGTGGTGACATTGTGATCCACCCTGAGCTTGTACTGCTTTGCTTGCTCTGCTGATTACACCCCACTTTGGCTATGGGGGTGTGTCAGAATGTTATCTTATGCTCTAGCCTGTAGTGGGGTGCTCTATAGCGAGTACAATCCTTCTAGGGTTTGCTATTTGTATCCCCATTCTTGCTAGTGCAACTCTCTTCTCTCTTCAAACTTTTTACAGAGAGGGAAGATGTTTTCCAAAAGATAGAGAAGGATGGTACGAACCTTTTTAGTAGCAAGAATACAACCCTCAGCATGAGATCCTAGAGGTGTCACATGCAAAATCCAACTGATGTTGCAATATTTGCAATCCATGCTAAAAACTTTTAACCACTCCAATCTAAAAGTCAAAGTTGCCTTTCTAACAAAGACTCTTTATAATTATGTCTCAATAATTGTCAAATGTAGATAATATCTCACAATGAGATAGAATTCCCGTAACTTGGAAATCTTGTAACTTGGGCGATCTTGGTCGGAATAAGGCGATCTTATGATCGTTGGAAAGCTCTGGATTTCCCTTGCATGATCAAGCATGTAGACTTGAAGAAAAACACAGATGTGGATCCAACAGCCATGCGTAATGACATATGCTCATGCAAATAATGCAAACACAAATAGCACAAGCACTAGGCAGTACGTTAGGATGTCATGCACTTAAACTGGCGTGCATTCAACACAACGTGCTCAAAACGCTTCAACATGGACCACGCTAAGCCTGTCGCCACCCCTCTTCCGCTCCAACACGCATTGACTGCTCCACCAACTCCATCACCAGAACCTTGCCACGAAGCCTATCTTGAGCTTGTTGGGCCCTTGACGCACGCCACAACGTGCACAAGGCCCGATCTTGCATATCTCATCAGCATTTTATCCTGTTTTTTCACTGCTGGAACGTTTCACGTATCTTCACTGGTCTACTACAAAACAGGTTCTTTGCTACCTCCAGGCTACCAAGGACTATGACCTTACTTTTGGTGGAACATCCCCACCACAGCTTGAAGTTTACAATGACTCGTCATAGGTTAACGACTAGTCTGACCGTCGATCTTCTCAAGGCTATTGCTTCACGCTTAGTAGCGGCGTCATCAGTTGGTGATCCACGCACTCATCGCTTGACTCCTTTTCAGCGTGTAAAGCTGAGTTGTATGCGGGCACCATGACGACTCAGAAAGCCCGCTGGCTATTCTTCCTTTTGGCCGAGCTTGGCTTCCATCAACCAACTCTAACTCTTTGGTGTGATAATGAGAGCACCATTCATCTTATCAAAGACCCCGTATTCAATTAGTGCACCAAGCATATCGAGCTTCGACACTTTTTCTTTCGAGAGCGGGTGCAGCGTGGACAGCTCTGTGTGCAGCATGCCTCTTCTGACTACAACCTGGCTGACTTGTTCACCAAGCCCCATGCCCGTCTTGACCATTATTGTCTACTTGGAGCCATGGGCCTTGGGATTGCTGCAGCCTACATGGTGTGCTGGAAATAGGCTGCACTTTGTGTGTTAGCCTTGAAAAGTTGTAGGGGTTACAATTTCTAGTAAGTCTATAATTTCGGTTGGGTTGGGTGTAGATCTTCTCATCCCCAACCTATCCAATTTCCCTCCATCCATCCTTGGTTGGTTGGTTGGATTGGTTGGATCCTCCTAAGATTCCATAGGATCCTCTTCCGATTGCACCTTACCTACCTAATCCTTCCTAGTTTGTGCTACTCAAGGCCATGTGTCCTACTCTTTAATCAATCAATACAACCCTTATTCTAACACCCTCCACTTACCTGCTAATGCCATCTCCATAGCAGCCACCAGCAACACCACAACTCCACCCCAGCCACTGTGAATGGACGCCTTTTCACCTCCCTCACCCTCACTCTCGCAGTCTCATCCTCACTTACCCACCTGCCACTGCCCAACTCCTCCACAACGGCCACTAGCAACGCCACCTCAGGCACTGTGAACGGTCGCCTCCTCAACACCTTCAGACCCTCGACCTCACGATCTCACCCACACCCTTACCCTCATCCCCAACCTCACCCTCACGCTCTCACCCTAACGCTCTCACCTCACCCTCACGCCCTCACCCCCACCTACCTGCCAACGCCCATCTCAACAGCAGCCTCCAGCAGCGCAACCTCGCCCACTGTCAACAGTCACCTCCTCACCGCCATCACCCTCACCCTCATGCTCTTACCACCACCCACTCACATGCGAATGCCCATCTCCTCCACACCAGCCACCAGCAACGACACCTCATGCACTGTAAACGCTTCCTCAACACCCTCACCCTCACTCTCACGCTCTCAATCTCGCCCTTGCAGACAGAACTCTAGCTCGCTAACTAACTGGGATAAAATGACATATTTACTCTGTGCATCAGCGTATCCATACTGCTCTAGGACGACACTTGTAGCTCTTGAGGAGACTACTTTGGGTCATTCTAGTGTCCATTTCCAACATTCCTCTCACTAAAAGGGCCCACCATTAAGGCAGAAGAAGTTTGCCAACAGCGAGAATCAAACCCCAATCTTCTTAACGCTCACCTCATCATGCAGAGATAGCTCATGTTCGCTATCCAACTGGAATAAAAAGACATCTTTGGTGTGGTGGTTCAGCGCACCCATACCCCCCCTCTCCCTGGCGACACCTGTAACCTTTTGGGTAACCACTTTGGGCCATTCCAGTGTCCACTTCGAACATCCTTCACTCTCATGCTCTCACCCATCCATCTGCCCATGCCCATCTCCTCCGCACCAGCCACCAGCAGCGCCACGCCACCCTCGTCCACTATGAACTGGCGCCGTTCTCTTCCTCATCCCCTGCCTCCTCAGCTGTAGCCGCGCCCCACCCCTTGCTCTCTGGCGCACTGTCAGCAGACTCCACCTCCTCCACCGGGCCCTCCGTCTCTCACTCCCTTCCTCCTCCCCCCTCCCCCTCCTTCCCCCCTCCCCCTTCCGCCCCCCCTTCCCCCCCCCCTCCCACTCCCCCCCCTCCCCCTCCCTCTCCCCCTCCCCCTCCCCCTTCCTCCCCCCCCTTCCCTCCCCCTCCCCCTCTCCCTCCCCCTCCCCCCCTCCCCCCCCCCTCCCCCCCATCTCCCCCTCCCCCTCCCCCCCATCTCCCCCTCCCCCTCCCCCCCATCTCCCCCTCCCCCTCCCCCTTCCTCCCCTCCCCTTCCCCCCCCCTCCCCCTCTCCCTCCCCCACCCCCCCACTCCCCTTTCCCCCCCCCTTCCCCCCCCCTCCCCCTCCCCCTCCCCCTCCCCCTCCCCCTCCCCCTCCCCCTCCTCCTCCCCCCCCTCCCCCTCCCCCTCCCCTCCCCCCCCCCTCCCCCCCCCCTCCCCCTCCCCCCCCCCCTCCCCCTCCCCCTCCCCCTCCCCCTCCCCCTCCCCCTCCCCCTCCCCCTCCCCCTCCCCCTCCCCCTCCCCCTCCCCCTCCCCCTCCCCCTCCCCCTCCCCCTCCCCCTCCCCCTCCCCCTCCCCTCCCCCTCCCCTCCCCTCCCCCTCCCCCTCCCCCTCCCCCTCCTCCTCCTCCTCCTCCTCCTCCTGCTGCCCGCCCAGTCTCTCACTCACTCCCTTCGCCCTTTCTTGCCCCCCCGAATCTCTCACTCACTCCCTCCTCCTGCGCCCCCATTCTCTCACTCACTCGCACCTCCTGCCCCTGCAGTCCCTCACTCACTCCCTCCTGCCCCGCCAATCGCTCACTCACTCCCTCCTCCTTCTGCCTCTCCCAGTCTCTCACTCACTCCCTCCTCCTGCCCCCCCAATCTCTCACTCACTCCCTCCTCCTCCTGTCCCACCAGTCTCTCACTCACTCCCTCCCTACCACCACCTCCCGTTCCTTTGCCTCTTGCACCTTCAGTGCTGATTCCTCCAATGACAGTGCATCCCCTTTCGCCCTCCTTTCCGACTCTCGCACCCTCTCCTCCTCCAACTCCTCTCCCCTCCTCGCCCGCTCGTCCGCCACTCGCAACGCTTCGTCCCCCTCCTCCCTAAATTCCTCTGCCTCCCTCGCCCGCTCCTCCGCCGATTGCAACGCCTCGTCCCTCTCGTCCCTAAACTCCTTTGCCTCCCTTGCCGCCTCCTCCATTGATTGCAATGCCTTATTCCTCTCGTCCCTAAACTCCTCTGCCTCCCTTGCCGCGTCCTCCATCTTTTGCAATGCCTCATCCAATTCGTCCCTAAACTCCTCTGCTTCCCTCGCCCGCTGCTCCGCCGACCACAATGCCCCATCCCTCTGCTCCTCCAACTCCTCTCCCCTCCTTGCCCGCTCGTCCGTCAATTGCAATGCCTCGTCCCTTTATAATCCTCTTTACTTCCTCCCCTTGCTCTGCCACTCCCTCTGGTGCTATCTCCGCTACCACCACCTCTTCTTTCTTTGCCTCCTGCACCTTCATCACTGCTTCCTCCAGTTGAGAAGCATACTCTTCCGCCTCTAGCCACCTCTCCTCCAACTCCACTACTCTCCTCACCAGCTCACCCTTTTGTCGCCGTTCCTCGTCTCTCGCGTCCATCGCCCTTTTTACCTCCTCGTCTTGACCAAGGTCAAGATTAATGTTGGAAGAAGCATTCTGAGCACCAAATGAAAGATAATGTAGAAGATGCCTAGGACACATACCTACACTCGTGTCGCAATCGCATTGCATCACAATCCACCACATTTCACCTAGCAATTAAGGATTCTCACCACACCGCACTGCTTGATTGAGACGCGAGGCTAGGAATGTACCATAAACAGATCTATCATCACTGAAGATCAAAGACCACTTGCAGGGCCCGACTGGGAGAACATCTAAGCTGTGATTCAGTTACCGTAATCGAAGTCCGGAAGCCGACTAGACTTCCTCTTTCTTTTTGTTGTTCTGGCGGCAGCAACCTCCTGTGTTGCAGGTTGCAGTGCTACATCACTGTCTTCATCCTCAGAATCCTCTATTTCGACCACGGATGAGCTCAGTGCGGGACGGCCAAACGCTGCTGCTCCCTGCTGCTCTTGAGGCGCACCCCTCAGTTGGCCATCTAGATGCTGTTGGGCGCCCAGACGCTGCTGCTCCCTGCTGCTCTTGAGGCGCTTGAAGGAAGGCACAGAGCTGACCTCATCATCATCCTGAAGTGAGTTCACTTCAGGACGGGCTGCACCTGAACGGCTGGAACTTATAGAAATTGGTGCCTGAATGTTGTTGTTGTCGCTGCTGCTGCTGCTTTCGTGGGGCCTTAATAGTGAGCTCACTTCAGCAAGGGCGGCACCTGACAGGCTGGAACCAAGACGGATATGTGCCTGACTGTCGTTGTTCCTGCTTTCAAAGCGCCTCACAAGTGCGCTCACTTCAGCAACGGCGTCACCTAACAGGCTGGAACCCAAAGAAACGTGTGCCTGACTGTTGTTGTTGTTGTTGTTGCCACTGCTGCTGCTGCTGCTGCTGCCACCATGCTCTGAATCATGCCCCTCTGTAACAGGTGGATTTGCTACCTGCATCAGTGAAAGCAGAGGCAGAACGTTAGTTGTCATGACAGAGGAAGAGACGGCACAGAGTTTCTAAGGCAGATACGCATTTCCACAGCAACACCATTCTCACCTGTACTCTCTCCTACAGCTTCAACTCTCCTCACACCCACAGCCAGGAACCTCCGAAGCACCAGCAGCACTCACCTCCTCACCATTGTCAATCTTCCCTATGTCTCTCATGCATCATGCATCTGTCTCTCATGCATCATGCATCTGTCTCTCATGCATCGCTCCTCCAAGCACACACAACTCAGAGCGGCCTACCTCCCAACAACACTCACCTTCAGTCACAGCTGCAGCCTCACCTCCTCACCATAGTCAATCTTTCCTATGTGTATCGTGTATCTCATGCATCGTGCATCTACCTCTCGTGCGTCTCCTCTGCTACTCTCTTTCTGCATCGTTACAACAGCATCGTTCCTCTTAGCACAAGCATACCCAGAGCGGCCTACCTCCCAACAACACTAACCTCCAGTTGCTGCTGTCGACTCGCCTCCTCATCACAGTCGATCCGACCCGCCTGCCGCACCTCCACCTGCCTCACCTCCGCCTGCCCCACCTCCGCCTGCCGCACCTCCACCTCTGCCACTCTCCTTCTGCAACCACCCAGGCTTTGCACCACTATCCACAAACACAGTTGGTGACCTGCCTCCACAACAAATTTCACCCCCCCACCTTGCTGCGGCCTTGCCTCCTCATCACCGCTAATCCGCATCACCTGCCCCACCTCCGCCTGCCTTACCTCCACCTGCCCCACCCCCCCCTGCCCCACCTCCCCCTGCCCCACCTCCCCCTGCCCCACCTCCCCCTGCCCCACCCCCCTCTGCCCCACCCCCCCCTGCCCCACCTCCCCCTGCCCCACCTCCCCCTGCCCCACCTCCCCCTGCCCCACCCCCCCCTGCCCCACCCCCCCCTGCCCCACCTCCCCCTGCCCCACCCCCCCCTGCCCCACCTCCCCCTGCCCCTCCTCTCCCTGCCCCACCTCCCCCTGCCCCACCTCCCCCTGCCCCACCTCCCCATGGCCCACCCCCCCCTGCCCCACCCCCCCCTGCCCCACCCCCCCTTGCCCCACCCCACCCTGCCCCACATCCCCCTGCCCCACCTCCCCCTGCCCCACCTCCCCCTGCCCCACCTCCCCCTGCCCCACCTCTGCCTGCCCCACCTCCCCCTGCCCCACCTCCCCCTGCCCCACCTCTGCCTGCCCCACCCCTGCCCCCCTGCGGCCTCCGCCTCTGCCTGCAGTCACTTCACCCCCAACCCCGTTTGCCCCACCTGCTGCCCCTCTTCCTTCGCCCGCTGCTCCTCTAGATTCACCTCCATTTTCTGCGCTGCTGCTGCGAGCTCTTCTTGCTGCTCTCACAGAGCACCTTTGTCGACCTGCAAACGGGAAGGCAGGGGAGGAGGGGAAGGCAGGAAGGGGTGGGAAAAGGCGAGGGAGGTGGGGTAAGAAGCCTACTCAAACACTAGGAGTAATTCTGGTCTATTTGGCAGAAGGAGTGATACATGGAGCCTCTTGTTTTTCTAGAATTCTCAAAAAGCACGTTCAGTATCTCAACGGACACAAGAGTCCACCTGGCTAGCTGCCTGTCATCTTCTCGAAGGTCAGTGCACGGTGACTTTTGAGTTGAATTGAGACATGTTCCAGCAAGCAGCAGCGTAGGAGAAAGTTCAGCAAAGGAACTACAGTTTTAGTTGGGACGTTACGAACGTTGCCTCTCTCGACGTATTTTGCGCTGCTCTTTCCAGTACTCTTGCAGCTGCTTCACTCGTTTCAACAGCTCCTCTGGCAACTTCTCCTCCTCCACCCTGCACCGACGCAAATGTGCCTCGATCTGAGCCGTACGCAACAGATTCCTCCACTTGTCCTGATGAGTGCCAGGGGGATTTTCAAACGGGAAGGGATTAAAACGACACACAAGCGCGGAAAAGCGACACATCAAATGAATGAGCTCCGAGGTAGTCATATGCACAGACAGACCACTTTCTCACATTACCATCCGCTTTCCTGAAGACATCAAAGGAGCTGCGAGGTGATAGTCACATACGATCTGATGGGGCACCTCATGCATTCTGAGGCGCCTCAAGGGGCACCTCAAGAGGCGCCACAAAAGCACGTCAAAAGAGATGCGAGGTGATAGTCGCATAGAATCTGATGAGGCACCTTAGGAGTGCTAAGGCTCCTCTAGAGGCTCCACAAAAGCATGTCAAACCATTCACGTGCTTGAGCTCTTGGTGGCAAGAGAGCACCAAGGACCCAAGAGAACAAATATAAATGTTGAGAGAAGAAAAGAGAAGATGAGAAGACAAGAAGATGGAAAGAGAGAACGATCCTTACTTTGAGGTCCCCATCTGTCCGGTACATTGAATTGACAAACGCCCTCCGCTGCACTTCTTTCCATCTAAAATACACAGGGAGGGACAGAAAATGGTTGGAGTCCGAATGAGGGGAGAATTTATTTCAATCCAAGATTTCTAGCAGCCAAAGTGTGCAGCATTCTCTTGACTTGCCTCCTTCTTACTCCTACTCTGCTCCATCTGATGCAGCTCTTCTTTCCCACTCCAACAAGTATTCCTACTCTCCCACCAGCACCACCGCCGCAGGCACTGCAACTCATCCTCGCCCACTGTGAGCAAGTGCCGCCTCACACACCCTCACTCTCACTCTCACGGTATCACCTTCATCCTCAGTCCCACGGTATCTCCCTCACCCTCACTCTCACAGTATCACCCTTACCCCCATTCTGCACCTGCATAGCAGCAACCTGCATACCACCACCACCACCACCACACCCCAGGCACTGCGAATGGCAGCTTCCTCACCACCCTCACCACCCTCACCCTCACCCTCACCCTCACCCTCACCCTCACCCTCACTCTCACCCTCACCCTCACCCTCACCCTCACCCTCACCCTCACCCTCACTCTCACTCTCACCCTCACTCTCACCCTCACCCTCACCCTCACCCTCACCCTCACCCTCACTCTCACCCTCACCCTCACCCTCACCCTCACCCTCACCCTCACCCTCACCCTCACCCTCACTCTCACCCTCACCCTCACCCTCACCCTCACCCTCACCCTCACCCTCACCCTCACCCTCACCCTCACCCTCACCCTCACTCTCACCCTCACCCTCACTCTCACCCTCACCCTCACCCTCACCCTCACTCTCACCCTCACCCTCACCCTCACCCTCACTCTCACCCTCACCCTCACTCTCACCCTCACCCTCACCCTCACCCTCACCCTCACCCTCACTCTCACCCTCACCCTCACCCTCACTCTCACCCTCACCCTCACTCTCACCCTCACCCTCACCCTCACCCTCACTCTCACCCTCACCCTCACCCTCACTCTCACCCTCACCCTCACCCTCACCCTCACTCTCACCCTCACCCTCACCCTCACCCTCACCCTCACCCTCACCCTCACCCTCACCCTCACCCTCATCCTCACTCTCACCCTCACCCTCACCCTCACCCTCACCCTCACCCTCACTCTCACCCTCACCCTCACTCTCACCCTCACCCTCACTCTCACCCTCACCCTCACTCTCACCCTCACCCTCACTCTCACCCTCACCCTCACCCTCACCCTCACCCTCACTCTCACCCTCACCCTCACCCTCACCCTCACTCTCACCCTCACCCTCACTCTCACCCTCACCCTCACCCTCACCCTCACTCTCACCCTCACCCTCACCCTCACCCTCACCCTCACTCTCATCCTCACCCTCACTCTCACCCTCACCCTCACTCTCACCCTCACCCTCACTCTCACCCTCACCCTCACCCTCACCCTCACTCTCACCCTCACCCTCACCCTCACCCTCACCCTCACCCTCACCCACCTGCCAGTACCAATTTTTTCCACAGAAGCCACCAGCGACGCTACCTCGTCCACGGTGAACGGCCGCCGCTCCCTCCTCCCCCCTTGCTCCCTCAGCTGCAGCCGCGTCCCTCCCCCTCCCCTTGGTCTCTGGCGCACTATCAGCTGGCTCCCCGTATCTTCCTCCTCCTCTTGCCCCCCTAGTCTCTCACTTCCCCCTTCCTCCTCCTCCTGCCTCCTTGGTCTCTCACTCCTTCCCTCCTCCTCTTCCTGCATCCCTTGTCCGTCATTCACTCCCTCCTCTTCCTGCCCTCCCAGTCTTTCACCCACAACCTCCTCCTCCTCTTCCTGCATCCCTTGCCCGTCATTCATTCCCCCCTCTTCCTGCCCTCCCAGTCTTTCACCCACTACCTCCTCCTCCTCTTCCTGCATCCCTTGTCCGTCATTCATTCCCTCCTCTTCCTGCCCTCCCAGTCTTTCACCCACTACCTCTTCCTCCTCTTCCTGCATCCCTTGTCCGTGATTCATTCCCTCCTCTTCCTGCCCTCCCAGTCTTTCACCCACTACCTCCTCCTCCTCTTCCTGCATCCCTTGTCCGTCATTCATTCCCTCCTCTTCCTGCCCTCCCAGTCTTTCACCCACTACCTCCTCCTCCTCTTCCTGCATCCCTTGTCCGTCATTCATTCCCTCCTCTTCCTGCCCTCCCACTCTTTCACCCACTACCTCCTCCTCCTCTTCCTGCATCCCTTGTCCGTCATTCATTCCCTCCTCTTCCTGCCCTCCCACTCTTTCACCCACTACCTCCTCTTCCTCTTCCTGCATCCCTTGTCCGTCATTCATTCCCTCCTCTTCCTGCCCTCCCAGTCTTTCACCCACTACCTCCTCCTCCTCTTCCTGCATCCCTTGTCCGTCATTCATTCCCTCCTCTTCCTGCCCTCCCAGTCTTTCACCCACTACCTCCTCCTCCTCTTCCTGCATCCCTTGTTCGTCATTCACTCCCTCCTCTTCCTGCCCTCCCAGTCTTTCACCCATTACCTCCTCCTCCTGGCCCCCCAGTCTTTCACCCACTCCCTCCTCCTGCCCTGCCAAACTCTCTATCACTCTCTCCTCCTGCCCCACAAGTCTCTCACTCACAAGTTCCCCTGCCATCACCTCCCCTTCTTGCACCTCTGGCACCCTCCTTGCTGCTTCCTCCAGTGATAGTCCATCCTTTTTCGCCCTCCTCTTTGCCTCTCGCACCATCACCTCCTCCAACTCCTCTCCCCTCCTCGGGCGCTTCTCCACCATTCGCAACTCCTCACCCCTCTGCTCCTCCAACTCTTCACCCCTCTGCTCCTCCAACTCCTCACCCCTCTGCTCCTCCTCCTCCTCCTCCTCCTCCTCCTCCTCCTCCTCCTCCCCTCCTCCTCCTCCTCCTCCTCCTCCTCCTCCTCCTCCTCCTCATTCTTCTCCTCCTCCTCCTCATCCTTCTCCTCCTCCTCCTCCATTATAGTCGTCAGACTTCCCACCACCCCTTCTGTCCGACCCATCCTCTCCCTCTCCCACCTCCTTCCCATTTGCGCCTTCACCTTCGTCCCTACACCACCAGCAGCAACAGGATCAGCAGTAGGAGTAGCAGTCGCGGTAACAGCAGCAGCAGCAGCGAGCTGCTCCCTTAGCAGCACGTTCGTGGCCCCGACATTTCGCACTTCCCTCATCAGCTCTCGCTCTTCCCTCTTCATCTCTCGCAACCTGCGCTGCCACCCATCCAGCAACTGCTCGAGTTCCCCCCTGCTCAGCAGCGCCAGCTGCCCTCGGACCCAGGCAGCACCATTCGAGACTCCAGCATCAACAGTAGCAGTATTGCCAGCATCAGCAGTAGCAGTATTGCCAGCATCAGCAGTAGCAGTATTGCCAGCATCAGCAGTAGCAGTAGTGCCGGCATCAGCAGTAGTAGTGGTCCCAGCATCAGCAGTGGCGCTGGGTAGGTTGGTAATGGCAGGAATGCAAGGTGTGGCAGGTGTGGTGGGGCAGGAGTGAGGGAGGGAGGAGGGAGGCAGGCAGGAAGAGGAGGGGATGCGCAGATGGGCTTTACAGGTGCAGAGCTCACAAAAGAAGCAAAGCTGGTCCTGTGGGGATGGGGGATGAGGGGGGGTGGAGAGGGGAAGCACAGTTGGAGGAAGGGGAGAGGAAGGGGGAAGCACCGTTGGTGAGAGGGAGGAGAACATGCAAAGCAGGGGAGGGGTAGGAGGGAAGAAGGGAAAATGAGGCAAGGATGATGGAATGGGTGGGCAGGTCGGAAGCAGCGCAGTACCTCGATCCTGGTGATCTCTGCCTGCTGGCCGCTCTGCTGGCCCTCATTTACCACCTTCTTGTTTTGCCCTCGAAGCTTCACTTCTTGCTCCTGAAGCTTCACTTCTTGCTCTTGAAGCTTCACTTCTTGCTCCTGAATCTTCACTTCCTGCTCCTGAAGCTTCACTTCTTGCTCCTGAAGCTTCACTTCCTGCTCCTGAAGCTTCACTCCCTGCTCTTGAATCTTCCCTTCCTTCCCCTGCATCTCTTGTTTTGCCTCTTCCGCCGCCCGCTCTGCCTCGCGCCTCCTCTCCTCTTCTGTGATCATCCTCCCTCCAAGCTTCTGAAGCTGCTCTTCCTGCTCTTGAATCTTCCCTTCCTTCCCCTGCATCTCTTGTTTTGCCTCTTCCGTCGCCCGCTCTGCCTCGCGCCTCCTCCCCTCCGCTGTGACCAGCATCCCTCTAAGCTCCTGAAGCTGCTCTTCCTGCTCTTGAATCTTCCCTTCCTTCCCCTGCATCTCTTGTTTTGCCTCTTCCGTCGCCCGCTCTGCCTCGCGCCTCCTCCCCTCCGCTGTGACCAGCATCCCTCTAAGCTCCTGAAGCTGCTCTTCCTGCTCTTGAATCTTCCCTTCCTTCCCCTGCATCTCTTGTTTTGCCTCTTCCGTCACCCCCTCTGCCTCACGCCTCCTCCCCTCCTCTATAACCAGCATCCCTCTAAGCTCTTGAAGCTGCTCTTCCTGCTCTTGAATCTTCCCTTCCTTCCCCTGCATCTCTTGTTTTGTCTCTTCCGCCGCCCGCCCTGCCTCACGCCTCCTCCCCTCCGCTGTGACGAGCATCCCTCTAAGCTCCTGAAGCTGCTCTTCCTGCTCCTTAATCTTCCCTTCTTGCTCTTGAATCTTCCCTTCTTTCCCCTGCATCTCTTTTTTCGCATCTTCCGCCGCCCGCTCTGCCTCACGCCGCCTCCTCTCCTCCGTAACCAGCCTCCCTTGTAGCTCCATCACCTCCTGTTCAAGAGGATTCAGGCTGGCATTGAGGGTGCTGTTACCCGCTTCAGCGTCCTGCTTGGAAAGGACAACGGAATGGAGGTCGGAGGGGAGGAAGAATGAGGAGGCGGCAAAGCAGGGCTGCAGGAAGGAAGGGAAGCAGGGCAGCAGGAAGGCAGGGCAGCAGGGCAGTAGGGATGCAGGGAAGCAGGGCAGAATGGCAGAAGGACAGCAGGGCAGCAGGGCAGCAGGGCAGCATGGCAGCAGGGCAGCAGGGCAGCAGGGCAGCAGGGCAGCATGGCAGCATGGCAGCAGGGCAGCATGGCAGCAGGGCAGCAGGGCAGCATGGCAGCATGGCAGCAGGGCAGCATGGCAGCAGGGCAGCATGGCAGCATGGCAGCAAGGCAGGAGGGGCATCACACCTTGAGCCTGGAGATCTCTGCTTGCTGGTCGTCCTGCTGGCTCTCTACAGCCTCATTCACAACTGCCGTGTTGCGCACCTCCTTCACCCCCTTTGCGAAGTCGAGCGTGCTGCGGGTCGCGTCGCATGTCCTGCAGGTGAGGGAGGGACACAGAGGCGGTATGATACAGGGAGAGTTTCTTGGAGGCAGTTCAAACGGAATTGGATGGAGGAGTTGTAGCAAACAGGTCCAATCCAAGGACACCTGCAGGTCAGGTCAAACATACAAGAACAGGGTCCAAGTACAGGTGCAGAAGAAGTGTCAGGCAAGACAGCATACAAACATACAATATGAACGGGTTGTGACCCTTGGCTTGACAATGCTGCGACTCACCCGCAAGCACCAGCTACAAATGCACAGAGACACACCTCTCTGGATCCGCTTCACAACTACACTGATTACCTTTCGGATAGGCTGACGCAGCCTTGACAAGTCCCAACACTTACTCTAAAGCTGGGCTGACGCACGCAATCATGGTAGTCTTTGAGTTGCCTCCTAAAGAGTCCTGCATAAAAGATGAAATGGTGGGGAAAGGAAGGATAGAGGCATCAGGATAGGGACTGAGGGGCGGCTGTTGAGTCGAATCAATACTCACCACCCAGTGATTCTTGCATACGACATGAAATGGTGGTGCCTAGTACGTGGGAAATAGGCGTCAGGAAGGGGAGTGAGGGTGGGGGTGGGCACTTTTTCTTACTTCAAATGACAAGAGAAACTACGAGACATGACAGCAATCTGGAGGAGGGAGAGAGTTCAACTTGAGGAGGAATACAAACAAGGCAGTAGCAGGATCCTTTTCGCTTTCCCAAATGCTAGAAACGAACTGGTCTCACAGGAGTATTTCACCTAGAAAAAAGAGAAGCGTTCACCTGGAGGAAGCGGGTGAGGCGGGAATCACGGTACGGAATGTAGCGAGGCTTGTTCTCATTCAGCGATTCCACTAGCTGCATGATCACCTTGCTGTGAGACCAGCACATGCAAACAGGCAAATGCAAAGGCACAGGCATAGGCACGGTCGGGCGTGATACACAAGAGTGAAATAAGAAACAGCAGGAGAGTGCAGTGTGAAAAGGTATACACAGGTAAGGAAGGGAGGTGACGAACGGGAGGTGAAATGAGAAACAGTAGGCGAGTGCAGCGTGCAAAGATATACACAGGTAAGGAAGGGAGGTGACGAACCCGAGGCAGGAGAGGGACGAGTTGATGGTGCACGCTTCCTTGAGCCGATCACGCTCCGCCCCTGATTCCTTTTGCCTGCCAGGGGTGGAGAACGGTGGATTGGGGTGCAGTGCACGAGAGGGGCGAGGAAGGCATTACAGGAGCTGCGTGAGGAGTGGAGTCATGTTGCGACAGGGACATGGCATGGGGCGGCCAAAAGATATAGCATGGGGCTGTGGCATGGGGTGATTGAGTGCCCCATGGGGTGATTGAGTGCCCCATGGGGTGATTGAGTGCCCCATGGGGTGATTGAGTGCCCCATGGGGTGATTGAGTGCCCCATGGGGTGATTGAGTGCCCCATGGGGTGATTGAGTGCCCCATGGGGTGATTGAGTGCCCCATGGGGTGACTGAGTGCCCCATGGGGTGATTGAGTGCCCCATGAGGTGATTGAGTGCCCCATGGGGTGATTGAGTGCCCCATGGGGTGATTGAGTGCCCCATGGGGTGATTGAGTGCCCCATGGGGTGATTGAGTGCCCCATGGGGTGATTGAGTGCCCCATGGGGTGACTGAGTGCCCCATGGGGTGATTGAGTGCCCCATGGGGTGATTGAGTGCCCCATGGGGTGATTGAGTGCCCCATGGGGTGATTGAGTGCCCCATGGGGTGATTGAGTGCCCCATGGGGTGATTGAGTGCCCCATGGGGTGATTGAGTGCCCCATGGGGTGATTGAGTGCCCCATGGGGTGATTGAGTGCCCTATGGGGTGACTGAGTGCCCCATGGGGTGATTGAGTGCCCCATGAGGTGATTGAGTGCCCCATGGGGTGATTGAGTGCCCCATGGGGTGATTGAGTGCCCCATGGGGTGATTGAGTGCCCCATGGGGTGATTGAGTGCCCCATGGGGTGATTGAGTGCCCCATGGGGTGACTGAGTGCCCCATGGGGTGATTGAGTGCCCCATGAGGTGATTGAGTGCCCCATGGGGTGATTGAGTGCCCCATGGGGTGATTGAGTGCCCCATGGGGTGATTGAGTGCCCCATGGGGTGACTGAGTGCCCCATGGGGTGATTGAGTGCCCCATGAGGTGATTGAGTGCCCCATGGGGTGATTGAGTGCCCCATGGGGTGATTGAGTGCCCCATGGGGTGATTGAGTGCCCCATGGGGTGATTGAGTGCCCCATGGGGTGATTGAGTGCCCCATGGGGTGACTGAGTGCCCCATGGGGTGATTGAGTGCCCCATGAGGTGATTGAGTGCCCCATGGGGTGATTGAGTGCCCCATGGGGTGATTGAGTGCCCCATGGGGTGATTGAGTGCCCCATGGGGTGATTGAGTGCCCCATGGGGTGATTGAGTGCCCCATGGGGTGACTGAGTGCCCCATGGGGTGATTGAGTGCCCCATGGGGTGATTGAGTGCCCCATGGGGTGATTGAGTGCCCCATGGGGTGATTGAGTGCCCCATGGGGTGATTGAGTGCCCCATGGGGTGATTGAGTGCCCCATGGGGTGATTGAGTGCCCCATGGGGTGATTGAGTGCCCCATGGGGTGATTGAGTGCCCCATGGGGTGATTGAGTGCCCCATGGGGTGATTGAGTGCCCCATGGGGTGATTGAGTGCCCCATGGGGTGATTGAGTGCCCCATGGGGTGATTGAGTGCCCCATGGGGTGACTGAGTGCCCCATGGGGTGATTGAGTGCCCCCATGGGGTGATTGAGTGCCCCATGGGGTGATTGATTGAGTGCCCCATGGGGTGATTGAGTGCCCCATGGGGTGATTGAGTGCCCCATGGGGTGATTGAGTGCCCCATGGGGTGATTGCCCATGGGGTGATTGAGTGCCCCATAGGGTGATTGAGTGCCCGATGGGGTGATTGAGTGCCCCATGGGGTGATTGAGTGCCCCATGGGGTAATTGAGTGCCCCATGGGGTGATGGAGTGCCCCATGGGGTGATTGAGTGCCCCATGAGGTGATTGAGTGCCCCATGGGGTGATTGAGTGCCCCATGGGGTGACTGAGTGCCCCATGGGGTGATTGAGTGCCCCATGGGGTGATTGATTGAGTGCCCCATGGGGTGATTGAGTGCCCCATGGGGTGATTGAGTGCCCCATGGGGTGATTGAGTGCCCCATGCTGCACGCGTAATTTTGACTTAATGCAGAACCCAACTTTGCACCTTGAAGCCTGTCAACAGCACCCCACTGTGTTCCAAACCTACTAGGAATCACCGTGCTTCAATTTGAACCCTACCAGAACAGAACCCACCGTGGTCTTGATGTAGCATGTGAAGACACAATGGGAGCGGCTACTTTTCTCGTTCATGTTTGTCGCCTCCGTCCGCCGGTGCTTCATTCCCTGCCTCGCACACACCAGTCAATGCACACAGACTGTGACAACCCCATTACCCCCCTAAGAACAACAGAGAATGACTGTCAAAGCTTGCTATACATGATTGACGCACTTCACACAAGCTATCTATGAATCACCATCATATTGCAACTCCTCTCATGGCTGGAAATTGGAAGGGCAGCATTAGAAGCTGTCTCTGACTCAAACCGCAAGGCATTTGCGTGAAAAGGTGCTATCAGACAGCTCACCTGTTTGATCGGCTCCATGCATTTAGCACAAGAAAAGCCACCAAAGAAACTATATACTGCTAGCTCCACCCACAAGCCAAGCCATCAGTACAGAAGAGCTAGCTCGCCCACTCACCCGCTGGATAAGCTCCATGACTTGAGCGAAGCACACGACTGGATGTTGGGTGAGGTTATCCACAAACACATCGTCGGTGCCCTTTCGAATCTGAGGGAGACATGGGAGGGAACAGCGAGATTTCACTAGAGCCCACAAAGAATTGACGGGGTTGGGGAGGGAGGGAGGCTCGCCAAGCACGATATTCTGCTGAGGCCCACACAGATTTGAGGGGGTGGGGGGGGGAGAGGGGGGGGGAACCACACAGATGACCAGGCGGGGTTCAAAGGGCTACGAACAGCACGACACAGCCCAAATGATATGAGTGGCTGGCACAACACAGCCCAGGTGCAGCACTCACCTCCAGTTTGCCAAGATTGGGGTCGGGGTTGGGGTTGAGCAGGTCAGACAACTTGTCGTTGTATATCTCAAGATATGAGCACGTGCATGTGAAGGCAAAGCTCTCACCCCTCCGCTGCTTCTCCTGGCAGACGGGAGGGGGAAGGAGGGGCGGACAGGCATCAAATCAGAAAACAGGTCAGACAACTGGTCGTTGTAGATTTCAAGGTATGAGCCTGTGTAGGTGAAGTTAAGGCTCTCTCCTCCCTATGCTGCTTCACCTGGCAAAAGGGGAGGAAGAGGGGCCGGGAGTGACGGAAGGAGGCGGAGGCAGTTTGGGAAAAGGGGAGGCGAGTAAGTAGGTGGCCATCTGAAAAGCGAGGGAAGTGCAATAAAGGCATTAGCATCGGGCAAGGGATGGTGGCATCGAATGAACAGCCAGCATGAAATAGTCAGCAAACAAAAAGTGGGATGCGTCATCAAACATACACCTCTCATATCTTAAACCCCTTTTTGGAAGTTCCGGCTCCCAATTGAGCTGCACGCATGCAGGCAGCAGGATGCGAGAAGTGGGACACGCACCTGTTTTAGCTGGGTAAAGAGCAGGTGACACATGCGCGGGATCATCCCCCATCTCGTCCCAACCTCCACGTCAGCCTCCACTCGCATCCGTTCCACGTCAGCCGTGTCCACGTCAGCTCCAAACATCGTGTACGTCTTCCCGCTACCCGTCTGCGATGCGTCACAAGGTAGAGGGAGTGGGCAAACGAAGGGAGGAGAAGGAGAGTGTATTGTTGAGGAGGAAAAAGTAGGTATGGTTAAGACTGCGTCAAGGTTGTCAATGCTCAAGAACGGGGGCAGGGACAAGAGGATGCACAGGAGCGATAGGAGAAAGAAGAACGGGATGACAGCTGATGCTATACACCACAGAGAGGAGGGGAGGGCGCACTTGGGCACAGAGGGTAGGGTAGGGCGCACTTGGGCTCAAGGGGGAGAAAAGGGCGCACTTGGGCACAGAGGGGAGGAGAGGGCGCACTTGGGCACAGAGGGGAGGAGAGGGCGCACTTGGGCACAGAGGGGAGGAGAGGGCGCACTTGGGCACAGAGGGGAGGAGAGGGCGCACTTGGGCACAGAGGGGAGGAGAGGGCGCACTTGGGCTCAGAGGGGAGGAGAGGGCGCACTTGGGCTCAGAGGGGGAGGGAGGACGCACCTGGCCATAGGCGAATATTGTGCTGTTGTAACCGGCAATGCAGTTGTCCACCATGGGCCGCCCTGCCAGCTCAAACAGCTCCTCCTGTGGGGGCAGGTTGGAGAGGAAAAAGAGGAGAGGGGAAGGGGGAGGGTGGGGGGAAAAAGTAGGGGGAGCGGGCCTGTGAGGCGCCTCAAAATCAGCCAACTGAACTGGTTGATTTGGCAAGCGAGGGGGAGGTGGAGGGGGAGGGGGAGGGGGAGGGGGAACATCCTTCACATGCCTGCAGTGCGCTCTCTGCTTCCCCCTCTCAACGCTTCCATTCTCTTCAAGAGCTCCCATCCCTGTGCCCACCTGCGAGGCAGTTTCCCCGGCCACATGGTCGAAGGTGAACTGTTTGCCTGCGAGAGCGAGTGACTGCGGACCGCTCTTCACCACACAGCGCTCCTTGCGCTCGTCCATCAGGTGACGCACCCTCACTAACACCTGTCGGGAGATGAGGAAGGAGAGCGATTGGGTGGAGTGAGAGGAGGAGGAGGCAAAACGAGGAAGAGAATGGGAGAAAGTGAGCGAATTGGTTCATACGAAGTGACCTCCCTCGCGCGCCTCACATTCTGTCCTGCCGTGACCTTCCCCACAATCACCTGACGTCAAGCAGCTGGGCAGAAAGAGAGGTGAATTGGAGGAGCAAAGAGGCGAAACGATAGGGAGGCGAGGAGGCGAAACGATAGGTAGGCGAAACGATAGGGAGGCGAAACGATAGGCGAAATGGATGTGAAATGATAGGCGAAATGGAGGCGGAAAGAGAGACGAAACGGATGCAAAAAGGGAGACGAAATGGAGGTAGAAATAGGGATGAAACGGAGGGGGAAAGAGAGACGACATGGAGGTGGAAATCAAATGCATGCAAAGCGGTACGTTCTCTCCTTCGGTGACCTCGCTCATGCCTCACATTCTCCGGAAAAGGAAGGATGGGGACAGATTGGTAGAAAAGTCCATACTTGAATATTTGAATCATTTGAGGCTGTTCCCGGTAACCGCCTGGGTGTCATGGCGGCGGTCCTTGGAGTCTTAGCAGCGGTCCTTGGAGTCTTGGCAGCGGTCCTTGGAGTCTTGGCAGCGGTCCTTGGAGTCTTGGCAGTACTTGAGAGACCTGCAGGTGGAGCAATGCTTAGAGTCCTGACTGATCTGGTGGGATCTGAAAAAAGGGAGGGAATGGGGAGAGGGGGGACGCACAGAACAACAACGGATCAGGGTCAACGAAGTAAGGAAACAGAATAAACCTCAGCCGCAAAAATATTGAAACGGGGAGAGGTGCAGATGCTGTAGACAAGCCTCGTCCATCCATGAGTGCCTTGCTGCGGACTCGGCACTCACTCGACGACTGTGGCGTGCGGACCGGGATGTTCTTGGTCAGCTGTGTAAAAGCTACTCTCGGCTGGCCTCGCTGCAAAGAAATGCCCCCCCCCTGCTGCGGAGTTCCGGCTTGCACCAGTCGCCGGAAACGGCTGGGAGTATGATATGCCTTGCCAGATTCGCCGTCTTGCAGTGCCGCTGCTCTGTGATGGTTTGCTCTGTGATGGCCTGCTGATGCAGGCGGCGGAGGCACAATGTCCTCCATTCTGAACCTGGGAGAGAACCATAAGCGAGGAAGAAAAACATGGAAATCTGATGCGTTGAAATAAACTTTTAAATGAACAACGCAGAGGGTTCCCTACCCACGCCTGAACCCGGAGCGACGAAAAGCCCACTCGGTGATATGCAGAAGATTATGCACTCTGAATGGGCCCGCTCTTAGAGGTCTAGAACAGGGGCCTTGAATAATCCATCGAACGACTTATTTCTTTAAATCACTCGTCACCGCTACTAGTAAGGAATTATCTGGCTAAGACTTTTTCGCAACTGCTGACTTTTTTTACAGGCTGTAATTTTGAGTCCCACTGACAAAACAATGAGGAATGGGGGTTAGTAAACCGTTGGGAAGAATCGCCAAAAAAATGCAGGCAGCCTATGCGATGTCACCGTTTCCGCAATGTGCTTGCGGAATGATTCAAATAGGCCACCTACTCCGAGCTGATTATGATCGCGTGCAAACTTTTCCATCTACTCGCAGCCTGAAAGTCTTGAAAATTACCACTCGTGTGACAAGTAGTCGGAGCCGCGGCCTGGCTCATCGGCGGAATTCCCAAGGGTGATCGTTTCAGTATCTGACTTGTCGGACGCTGAACTGGGAGGTAGAGGCGATTCAGTTTGAAGGGTTCTCGCCATGCACTTTCTCATTCCCCTACCTTTCAGCTTCCGGTTTAAGAAAATCTCCAGGCGTGCGGGTTCGTCCTCCGATGTCATGCAGAGTACAACTTGAAGGCAGAGTGCTGTCAAACAAACCGCGGCGTAGTGTCTGTTGGCAGGCGCGGCCGCGGCTACTATATAATCTGGCGTGACCGCTGCTCACAGACCGACAACATCACTCATGGAAACTATTCACTGCACTCTGGCACTCTTTCGTCTGTCTTGATCTACTTTCAGTGCTGAAGTTATGGCCCTGTTCGCCACGACCACGATATAGGCAAGGGGCGGGGGATGGGCGAGGGCTCCAGAAGGTGCGCCGGAAGATGCGAACTACGTCCGGGGGCTCGCCCCGAATGGAAATTTCTCCAAAGGGATCCAGAAGGGGGCCAAGGGGATCTGGCACCTCCCCCCCCACCTTCGTTTAGGGCGGGACTTTTTTTCCCGCCTCTGATCCACAACCAGAGAAAAAAAGAAACAAATCAGCCCGGGTAAAAAATGTCGAAAAAAGAAAAGGTAAGGGGGGCTAGGCGCTATCGTAATTGACGGACAAGAGCAATGACGGACTTGAAGCAGCTGTCTTATCAGTGGGTGTTGAATGCCACTCGGGAGGGCGAAAATTTGTTGTTCCGGGCCGGTTCTGGTGACACGTTGGCGTTTACCCTGCCCTCAAATCCCCCGGCCATCCCGTTAGGCGCCTACGAAATTGGTGGTCTGCACGAGGGAGAGTCGATGGTGGGGATGGGGTTCCGAGCTGGCAGGACAGGAAGCTGCCAGGCGCATTCTGGATCCCCCGCCCATCCCTTCGATGGCCCAGAAAAGTGGGTGTTCGCCACGACAGCGAGCCCTCCGAGGTTCGGAGGGGATCGTCAGGCTCGACAGGATTTTGTCGGTCTGACCGGCCCTAAAACCCTGATTTCACCCCTTTTCGAAGGTGCAGGGCGGACTCCAGATCCCCCGCCAATCCCTCTGAAGGCCCAGCAAAGGCGTGGCGAACAGGGCCTATCTGTCCAAAAAAGCAAACGAGCCATGCGGACTGTGTCAAATTCGCCACTGCTCACATGTCTCTGTTTTTCGACCGTGCTGGTCTCCCCCCAATACACCCGACATTTTAGTCCACCTGGCTGCTCAGCGACACTTGTCACCCCCAAATAAATTGAAAATGTGTCGCCAGCACATGGCCTGTGAAATACCTTATTCTTGCGGACTAGTGACAGGCTAAATATCGATGTTTAGCTAAATATCTGGGCTCTGGCGACTAGTGACTTCAGTTCGGCTCGTGTCAAACTCCCGTCAGACTTCGTGTCTTAGTGACCAGGGGAAAATCTTAGCTGGATGACCCGAAGTGCCTCTCGGATGACCCAAAGTGGGGTCAGCTGTGGGGCCAGCTTCGTGTCATCCCTGGAAAAATGGAAGTTTGACAAGAGCCAGGAACGCGCCCTTTGTGTTGGACAAAAAATATTACTTCAAACTTGTCAACCAACAAGCTGACCAAATTTTCGAGAAATGCTTCAAAACATACTGCAAACTTCCATCCCTGACGAAGCGCGACTGACCGAGTGTCAGGTGACAGGTTTAAATATCCGCGCGAAATGGCAGGATTGAAAGGCTTCGATACAAAATGCTTCAGTACATTACACGATTACTGACCCTTCTGATATATCCATTCCGAAGGGCGACCTAACCAAAAGAGTACCACAATGCCACATGTGCAACATGGAAAGTACTTATGATTGGAGCTGCTTGAGAGGTGATGATTGGGGACATAATCGACATCCACCTGCTAAACATTAAATGTTGGTAAGTGAGCTACCTCATCTGCATTTGTCCACACTAATCAAGTAGCCACACTCTTCCTTGCCGCTGTGAGAATCTTATGCAGCTCCAGAGCTTCGGGCGGTGACCCTTTCTTAGCAGCCATCTTCGCCACCGGAAACAACGCCCCGTCATTCAGCAAAAACGCAGGCGTAACCACTCCGGTGGTAACCAGATGGTACAGCGCAAACAGCGCCTCTTCCTGCGCACGTTCCGACTCACTCTCCAGCACATCCAACATCACCAGTGTCCCCTCCACCTCTAGCAAAGCTGCCTGTCCCTCCTTGGACTTCACCAGATTCGCCAACACAGCCATGGCCTTTTCTTCCACCCCCGGCCGCTTGTCTGACAGAGAATCCACCAGCACGCTCACCCCGCCCTCCCGGATTATCTCATCGGCACAGTCCGGGTCGTCTGAGAGGGCAAAGAGCGCGAGAGCCGCGTCTTTCCGGCACCGCGCCGCTTCTAACTTAAGCAGCTTGAGCAACGGAGGGATGCCGCCACATCGGAGAATCTTGTTCCGGTATCTGCTGCTCCTCCTCCGCCTCCCGTCCTCATCCTCCTTATCATCATCGTCACACGTAGCAATCGCAAACAGCGCCGCCGCTGCGTTCGAACGCACCGACTCCGAAAACTTGCTCGCGGCACCGTCGCCATCGCCTTTCGGGCTGCCACCGTCCCTCCCTCCACCCTTTTTCCTGCACTTCCCATCCACTAAATCCACGAGAACCCCCACGCCCCCAACATCAACCACCTCTAGCGCCCCGTCGTAAGACTGTGTCAGCTGTAATATCACCGATACAGCACAGTCTAGCACTGCTGGAGCATCCATTCGGCTCTCTCTGCTCGCTCCGTCACTCCCAGATGCTACTAACGCGGATGCATCCTCCACAAGATCTACCAGAATTGGAACCCCATCGGACCGGTTCACCACGCGCCGCCGCGCCTCGGAGCTTTCTTTCAGGGCAGACCGGAGCCGCATGATCCCTTCTTCCCGGTCAGCCGACGAGCCGCGATCGATCGCATCTAGCATGTCGTCTATCGTCCGCATCGATCGAGACGAGGACGAGAGGGACGGTCTAGGAGACAACGATGACGTGGACGAAGGGGAGGACAGTGGCGGGCGAGACCTAGGCGAACTAGCCGTGATGCTGCTGCTACCAGTCCTGTCCTTCCCACTGCCCGTGGCCCCACCGGCACCCCCTAGCCGCGTTTTATCCCTGGTTGGCCGAGGCTGGGGCGGCAGGTTTCTCGCACCAGCCCCACTAATGGGCTTTCTAAGAGGAGACGAAGCAGCGCCTGAACCTCTGTGCCTTGACCCGCTGCCCTCCTTAGCTCCTGCAGCCGAGGGGTTGGCAGGGGAGGTGAGCTGGCGCTCGAATGACGAGCTACCGGCAGGGGACCCTGGCGGTTCCTGCCCTTCTCTCGTCCGCTCGTCTAGGCTCATCGTTCTCCTGTCCGCCCATGCTTCCGGACCCGCTGCTTCCCCTTCCGCTCCGCCCCCCTCCGCTGCGCCCGCTGCGTCCGCGCCTTCACCTTTCGCTTTCCCTGCTCCCCCCTCTGCGTCTCCTGCGCCCCCTTCCGCTGCTGCTGTTGCTGCTGCTGCTGTCCCTTCCCCTGCTGCACCCTCCCCTGCTGCTGCTGCTGCTGCTGCTTCACCTGTGCCCTCCACAGCAGCCGCTTCTTTCCCCGAAGCTTCCGCTATCTCCCCTGGTTTCTCCTCTGCCTCTTTTCTCCCCGTTCTCCCCACATCCCTATCGCCTCTCCCTGCTACTCGTGGCCCAGCCCTTCCCACGCCTCTCCCGCCTCCTCTCCCCCCTCGGTCCGAAGGAGGCCGCCTAGGTGAATACGTGCTGTCATCATCCCTTCCCCTGCCCCTCTCTCGCTCCCCTCCTCTCTCCCTGTCCCTCTCTCCGTACCTGTCCCTGTCCCTATCCTTATCCCTCTCTCGATCCCTGCCTCTATCCGGTTCCCTCGCTCTATCTCTGTCCCGGTCCCTGTCTCGATCTCTGTCCCTGTACCCATCCCTGTTTCGATCGCGGTGTCCTTCCCCGTCCCTATCCGAATCGCTATCCCGCTCCCGGTCTCTATAACCATCCTTCCCTCGTTCCCGCGCGGTGCCTCCTCCCGCGCTTCCCCCTCCCCCTCTCCCCCGTTGCCGCGACAACAGCTGCGCCGCCACACGCCCTGTGCGCGCTCTCCGCTCCTCCTCACTCCGCGGCTGCAGCCGACTACCTCCGCCGCCCCCCCTTCCCCCGCCACTCCCCCTGCCCCGCCGGTCCTCGTCCTCGCTATAAGCCTCTCGCGTACGAGATCCAGTCCGCCCACTCCCCCTATCAGACCCGCTATCGTCGTCCCGATCTCGATCCCCCGGTCCCCTCCGCCTCCCGCTCCCCGCGCTAGCAGACCGCTGCACATACGGCTGAGATTCGTCCGCGTCATCATAGTCATCTCCAGATCGGCCCCGTCTCGGGCCATCCCTGTAACCTCCTGCGCCCCCCCCGCCTCTCCTTCCCGGGCTGCCGCGGCTAGAGGACGTCGGAGACGGTTCCTCGTCTTGCGCGCGAACTTGCGCGGCAAGTTCCTCCTCGAGGCCTTCCGGGAGAGGCGCGAGATCGAGGTCGTGCTTCTCGCACCATTCGGCGATGAGGGCTTTAAGAGCCACGTTGGGGAAGAACTCGGTGTGGTCGAGTTTCATGCCGCTTTTCGGGCAGACGCGCCGGCCTGCTGCGAACCATACCTTGATCAGATCGCGCTCGTAGCTAAGTCCCGACGCGATGATCACCGGATCGCGCATTATGTCATCGGATAAGGGACAGATGAACTCGAGGGGAACCTCAAGATCGTCCTCCTCTTCAGCTTCAGCCATTGTTATAATAGACACTGGATACTATATGGAAATAATAGCGAACTTAGATGCGGTTCCAACCTGCAGGATTAGAAGTTAGAACGAATACACCTTGATCGGAACGACGTGTTAGGGAACCTGAAAACGAGTGTAAGGTACCACGACTACCAAAAGCTAGGGTTACGTTGAGGAAAACATAACTTAGGCGGGAAACAACTTACGTAACCACTCGATAGCAGTTTTTAACCGAGACACTCTAACGAAAATGCAGCAATAGTATCAAATAACTTCCGGCGCTCAGTAATAAAGTACGAGTTTCGCCTATAGTGACGGGTCATCATCTGAGAGAACTAATAAGCAAGCCAAGCTTTTCAGGCGAGCAGTTGGTCCACAAATGGTTGGTTGTTGCAGCATTGCCTTCAAGAATGACGAACCAACATTGAGATTGCCGAAGCCCCTTGGTCGGCTTGGCGGAACATAGCGGGTGGGGGCAGCGACAAGGCCGGACGCCTGGCTCTACAGCGCTGAGGGGTTGCCTGGCGAAGTGTTGGTGCAACAAGTGGCGCGAGGCCCCACTGGTCCATTTCCCCATCCCTCTCCCGCCTCAACCACCCCGCGGCAGTGCGTTGCGGAGACACAAGTGCTGGCGGAACTTCGTGCGGAGATATCTAGGTTTGCGGGAAGATTCGAGGGTGAGGGAAAGTGGGAGTTCATTGGAGAGAGCCGTTGAGGTCAATCAAATGTCTTGCGCACTTTTCGGTTTGTCAGAAATGCTGGTTACCGTAATGAGCTCGCAACTCGTTTGCACACTTCCGGCCCAAGAGAATGACTCGCCACTGCTCAACGATTCGGCGAGATCCTATCGCATGCACGGAACTGCCAAGCGGCGAACCTAGACTACTGTTACCAGTGCAGCTAAGTGAGAGAACTCAAATTGCACTACATAGACCAGTATCATGGTTTTGTTTGAGATCAAAAAGGAAAACAGGTCACCGTTGTTGAAAAACGCTTATAAAATGAAAATAACTAAATTTATTAGAAATCAAGTCATTATAAACTGATATGCTCAAAAGTTGGACGTGAAAATTGATCAAACTCACGCTGTTGTGATGGATAGATAAAACTTTCATCAGAACTGAAAGAGCCACATGGTAAACGGAGGCGAGGAACTCACAAACCTATGCATCACTAATATTCCCATGCCTCGCCGCCTTTCACCAGAAGCAAGGGCGATGTACATGAGCTTGCGGAGCCACATGTCCATCCCACGTGGCATGCATTTCCCAATCCGTGAATGTGTACACTGTACAGTTAATGACTCACCAAAATGAATTCACAGCTGGCTTCCCGCAACCTTTCGTCTCCACACACATCGCAGCCAACCCCAAGCGTCACTTGGGCGGCTCGGTTCCGGCGACGTCTCCACTAGAGGAATGCTGGTGCTTCATAAATTTCAATTGTGCATGTTACAAACATCATTTGAGTTGTTCAAGATTCTATACCCGTGCTTACGAAACGCATAGCCACCAAAATCCACTAGGCGCTAATAACCTTCTTATAAGATGGCTGCCCTCAGCTCGTCTTCTCTAGTCGCTCAGAGTTCCTCCAGCATCTTGGGCGAATGCACCTCAGCTTCTTCCTCCCCGTCGCACATACCCACGTTCTCTGGTCTCCGCACGCACGTCCCAGCGAAAGTAATTGCCGCAAAAAGCAAGTGCACCAGCGACTGCAAATGCTCGCGCCACCCCGCCATCCGCGCTGCAGCAGTTTCCGAAAACAGCAGCTCGCACGAAACTAGCGATGTCGCCACGTCATCGCAAGCGCTGTTCGCCAGCGTGGCACAGACTTCCGCTCCGTCGGCTGCACCTCCTGCTTCCTCTAGCATCGTCCCTGCCGTCCTCGCTGCAGGCCTCCTTGGAGGAGCTACGTTTGCGCTCCTTTCAAAGAAAGCCGCACCACCCGCGAAACCTGCCCCTCCTACTCCGGCCGTCGTTGCCGCTGCTGCTGTCACGTCCAGCTACACAAATGGCGCGGCGACTAAATTCGTGAAGCGAGCGGCGCCTGCCGCGCTGGCGACGATGGCGGCGACGTTTCCGAACGCGATGCAGGAGGATACGTTTATGAAAGCGGTGGCAGAGGAGCTCCGCAACCTTGGCTTTAACCGAGACAATTGCATCGCGCTCGTGAACACATGTCGCGACGAAGTCTGCCGCCCAATTGTGAACCTCATCGACAAGGAGTTCGGCATGTCGTTCAACCTCGCGGGTCTGGGAGGACTCGTGAGTTGCGGCAAGACGGGGTTCAAGGCCGCTATGTCGCATTCGCCTGAGTTCCCGTGTGAAACCGACGGCAAGCCACGCGAAAGATGTAAGTCCATTCTGACTCAATAGAAGTGAACTTTTTGAAACGAAAGTATGAAATAGTTAAACAAGGTCAATACAAGTCGAATTGGTGAAATTGACGTCTCTTTTTCTGATGTCAATCAAACTATTATACCATACCCGTTTACCCCCCCGGGCCCCCTGCTACAGACATATTTTTCGGGTTCCCCCACGTGTCGATCGGTGAGTCGGGCGAGGTGGGGTCTCTACTGCGGCGTGGACGCGGCAAGCCGTCGAGCGCGTGCGGAGCGCTGATTGCAATCAAGGGCGACATCCAGGCAGGCGGGCCCGTAGAAGAAGACCCGGATAATGCCGAGTATGTGTCTCTCAAAAAGAAGATCATTGCGCGTGTGAAGCCGTCCTCGACTCCTTCCGACGGCCCGTCGCTAGTCCAAGTCACCAGGGCCGCGCTCCAAGCAATTACTGATGACCTGGAGCATCTCATCTCCCTCACTGTGGATACCACTACTGCCGACTACGCCGTTATCACTGGCGTGCAGATTCACTCTGGCGATCAGGTTAGTACCCCTGTGAAGCACGCCACTCAACACTTATGCCGGGACAAAAAAACATTCGCTTGAAGCTTTCTTTTTTTAACATCGAAATTGATCCAAACCCCGTGCCTCTCTATGCAGATCCCCGGCGAGCCCTTCCGCATTGAGCGTACCTGCGACTACATCGCGCCCAATGCCATGTACGCCGTGATTCGCGGAGAGAAGCACATTCTTCACACGGAGATCAACCAAATCACCGCCATCAAGTCCGTGCCTGCCGACTTATTCTCCAACAACTAGTTGCACCAACTCTTGAACGACTTCAGCTGTTTCTGCCATTTTTTCGCGTCCTGACAAAGCCAAGGAGGCGTTGACTCTTTGACCGCTCGTGACTTGATGTTGCTCAATGTATGCTTAGCCAGTGAATAAGAACCATCATTTCCATGACAATGGAACGTTTCTCAAGAAAAGCGCAACGTTATTGATATTCTCTGTTAATAAATTCCTCGTCGTTGATACAAATGTCCAGCGGTAGCAACGCAGCACACAGCAATGGCGGAAATAATTTCCTCAGGATCGAGAAGCTCAGGCTGAATGAAGCCCATTAGACTCGGACTCCGAAATCGATGTTGATCCTAAGTTGTGGTAGTATTTTGCTTGCTATTGCACTTTCAGTTCGAGCTGCTTTGATGCTGGCAATGCAAGTCCCGCCCAGAAGGGTCATCTGACAAAGATCACAGGAAAATCTGGCGCCAAATTTGGAGCAGGTTCAGCATCCACATCGGGGTTGCCACCTCGGATTATCTGAGGTGTATCTCTATATGGATGACGAGGCTTCGACCCAGTAACCTCTCCAACTCTTACAGCCGCAAAATTGTGGACAGCTGGAGCTCCACGTACGCAAACCTCTAGAAACGCGAAAGTGGTAACCATAGTGACGATGATAATCGATCGAACTTGGGGGATGCCCGAATTCAAGCGCAGGTTCAGAGGGGCGTCGCTTGCACGTTGATTGGCGGGCATCACAACCTGCACATCACGAAGCGCGCCGAACGTTCTGTATGCACACTGCCGTTTTCCGGGACTGAGTTCAGAATTTCTGGTTTCATTCATTCATTCCTCCAACGCCCGAAAATTTAACCAGGAAAATTAGCGCCATTCCACCACACAACACAAGCCAAGACTTGCCCGTGGGCCTGGTCAGACTCTCCCCTCCCTGTCACCTACCCAAGCAAGCACCAAGACGAGACAGAGGGATGAGCCTGACAGGGAAACTGAAACTGTAAAAGCTTTGGCCATTTCTAAATCACTTATCGCTCATTGATTCTTCCATCACTTCTCGTGCTCTGCAAGCAGAGCTTCTCGCCAAGTCCTTGTGTAGATCTTCAGCAGCCTCCTTCGCCTACCTAATCAGTTCGCAGGCTCGTAAGTTGCTGCCATGGCCACCATCAGCGCCCACACATTGACCGCGAGGAATCCTGCGGCTCTGCTCGGTCAAACAGAGTCAATGACTTCATCCAGCGCCATCCCCTCCTTCTCCGGCCTGCGCGCCGCTGCCCCCGTGAAGGCCGCCGCCAAGGCCGCCTGCGCGCGCAAGTGCAAGTGCTCCCGCCACTCAGTCGTCCGCGCCGCCGCCGCGTCCGCGAACAACGATGCGGAGACTTCGTCGCAGACCCTCTTCGCCAGCGTGACGCAGGCGGCGCCTGCTCCCGCGGCTGACAACAGCCTCCTCGTCCCCGGAATCATCGGCGCTGGCGTCGTCGGCGGAGCCGCGCTCGCGCTCCTGACCAACAAGCCGGCCGCGCCGGCCGCGGCGACTCCCGCTGCCGCCAGCTCCGCGCCCGTGACGCACGCGAGGCGCGCGGCAGCGCCCGCGCTGGCGACGATGGCGGCGACGTTCCCGAACGCGATGCAGGAGGAGACGTTCATGCACGCGGTTGCGGAGGAGCTCCGCAATCTCGGCTTCCGCCGCGACAACTGCATTGCGCTCGTCAACACTTGCCGCGACGAAGTCTGCCGCCCGATTGTTAACCTTATTGATAGGGAGTTCGGGATGAGCTTCAATATCGCCGGGCTCGGCGGGCTCGTGATTTGCGGCAAGACCGGATTCAAGGCTGCCATGTCGCACTCGCCCGAGTTCCCATGC